TCGAACTCAGCGGGAACCACCGTCGATTAATAAGGCAGCCAAACCAGTTATTCATGTGTCCTTTCCATGATACACACCAACGATAACCAAAGGCGACTGTAGCAAAGGACGTGAGGCTCACTCGTCCCCTACTTCGCGTGTCCAGCTACGTGCAGCGTTCGATTGCAACAACGGCCGTCACTAAACTTGATTCTATTTATGGCAAATGTGGTGAGGCGAAATGTGCTAGAGGGGTCAGAAGAGAGGTTACCTGTTCAAGTTGGGCCCTTCCCTGCCGGCAGGAATGGCCGAAAAAGGTCCCGGTGACAAATTTCGGGCGCTCAGTATAATATTCAGCCGCATTCACTCATTCACGCGTAGCCGTTTTCGAGTACTTTTAACGCAATTCGACGACTACTGAATGACTGCCCATGAACAGAGTCTTCCACGCCATAAATTACTCCTCTGTATGGAAATGTGGTGTACAGTGCTGCGCTCCCGAATTTAGTCCATTTGTGAATAAATTCGGGCACCCAGTAACAAGTTGCAGCGGCATCCCTCATCCGCAGATAACAATTTTCCACTACTTGTAACACATTTCCGCTACCACTACAGGTGTGCATGTGAACGCACTTTTCAGCCCTTTAACTTACTCCTATGTACGAAAATATGCGGCTCTATCTGAGCGGCCTAATCTTGTCCCAACTGGGACTAAATTCGGGCACTCAGTAAGAATGGTAGCAGTCTTCCCCAATTCACGGCTAACCAATTTTCCTCGGTTTTACTGCAGTTCTGCGACCCTTACAGCGGTGCGCACATACACACTCCCAGGTGCTTTACATTATCACCAGGTATAAATTATCGAGCTCAGGAATCAAATAAGACACAATCGCACTGCAACCTAATACTTCAATGTGCATTACACACTCTCTGCAGTTAACAAGAACACGTTTGTAAGGGACATAAAAGTTATCCTTTGACTCGATGCATTCCTTGTGCCGAATTTGCACGCACGATAGCAGTTGTAATACGTCGCTATACAACTAAGCGATTTTGCCACCAATTTTATGCAAGAATACCTGAGAGTTAAATAAATCGTAATAAAAAGCCACCAATACAGCGTTTTGTACTTGGCCCGGGTGTGGAACGCAATTTCGGCTGACCGTTCTCTCCCTCTTTGTTTCGCTGTATCCAACGGCGAATCTCATAGGCGATCATACTTTCAGTGCGTAATGTAGCATTAGTGAATACTAGTCCGAGACGGTGAGCGAAATTAAGCACGGATCTCAGAAGGCATTTGGAGGCGGACACAGTGGATTGTATTCGATGGGCTACCGGAAGACACGGGCGGATGAAGCGAGACAAGAGCAAACACGTGAGCGCGGGAATTACAAGACGGTCAAGGGTCGAGCTGGATGTAGGTCAACATGGATGCACAAGAAATTGTACACAAAAAAATAATAGTTATCTTTTGGGGCGCTACAGAGCTCCGCCTAGAAAGAAGACTTTGATGTCGAAAATGACTATTGAATCGACGTTGGTTGGACGAAATCGTGCCGAGTGAGTGAGTGGGCCTTCGGGTCAAAAGGGGGTTCGCCGGAGGTCGGACTCCTCTCTGCCGTTTGTGATTTATTATTTGTTGATTATAGAGAAGGGTGCATTTTGGCGAACTGTTGGTGCGGGCTTGTCGGACTACAAAATAACTGACTAGCCCAGAAAATGGCCGACAGGACCTCAACCTCCACTGCTGCCGAACGGTGCGCTTGGGAGTGGTCTTTCCCCGCCCCGCGCAAAAATGACCCTCGTCCCACGGTGAAACGACCATCGTCCCACGAATAAACGACCATTGTTCCACGAAGAAGCGATACTCGTCCCGCGGAGAAACGACCAGCGTTCGCATCAGGATCCTCGTTGACTGCGTCCATCCTCAAAAACATTGCTCATGTGGGCAAGTCGATCGAAGGAAAGGTTTGGGACGTGTAAAGACGAGAAAATAGAAAAGCGCGCGCCAAAAGGCCAGAAAGAACGAACGAATGATCTGCGTGTTTAGATTTTTTGGTTTTTTGAATAATTTTAGGACAGATTCTTCAGAGTTTTTGATTTCTTTTGTTTTCAAAACGTCATTCGACTAAAAACGGGGCAAGTAATTTCATTATCTACAATGCTAAACGTATTTACACTGTGCATAGTCTGAGAAACGAACCGGTCTACGCACCTCCCGACCACGACGATTGGTCGTGGGAGGCGGCGGGCTAGATTCGGGAAATCTCGGGACGACTGAAGCTTGTAGACCGAGATCGTGGTCTGGTTGAACTGCCCTAGGATTCTGTAAGCTGGTGCGGTGAGTTGTGACGTCGCACGAAGAACTGCTAGAGGAAGTAGGCGAGGTGGTTTCTTCCAAAACCAGGTTTCAGACGGTCCATAGTGATGACTTCGCGTCGGCCACCGCGGTCATTAGTATACATCTTACTGGCACGGTGTAGCACTTTGAAAGGTCGTATGTACGACGCCTGAAGAGGCTGTCGAACACCGTCTGCGCGAAAAAGGACGTGTGAACACGTAGACAGCTTCTCGGGCACGTACACTAGTGCCTTCTGCGATCGAGGAGCGGGTGGACGTAGCTCACGCATCTGGTGAGCCAATCGATCAGTGTAACTTCGTATTCGAAAGATGAAATAGACGGGGCTGGTGCTACCGGCTGTCCGAGCAACCGTAGCATGCAGCCGTAGACTAGCTGCGCTGGTGTTGCCTCAAAATCGGTTTTAACAGTATTCCTTAAACCTAAGGGGACGAGAGGAAAGATTTCAGACCATGAAGAATCTGCGCGTGCGTAGTGTGGCCGTTAGCGACCGGAGGTTACGCCGTCGCCTGAACGTGGCGACAGCCTAAATCCTTAAGCAACCAGGCAAAACTCTACGAGAAATGGGATCATCGATCAGTGGTCACGATGGCGGGTCAGCCGTATTGAGCTGCCCAGCGCTCCAGAATAGCTTTCGCTACCATTTCCGCTGAGCAGTTAGGCATGCGCATAGCCTCCGGCCACTTAGTGAATCGATCGACACAGGTCAGTAGATATACAGAGCCTTTCGAAGGCGGCAGAGGACCCACGAGGTGCACGTGCACATGGTGAAAGCACACATGGCGTGGGAAATGTTCCTACTGGACTTTTCGTGTGCTTATGCACTTTCGCGCGCTGACACGGAAGGTAAGCAGCTGCCCAAGTACGAATGTCACAATTGACATTGCGCCTATTCTATGTATTCATAGGATATTTAGGCTTCACTTCCATATTGTCGCCCATACGTGTTGAGGCGCTTTGACAAGTGTCTCTCCGAATGGCACCATTAGAAGCACAGTCATTGTAGATGGAAACTCCCTATTACTTCCATGGACTAGAATGCTGTCCTCATGAAATCATCATTACTCAACAACGAAACACCTAAAGGGACTACACTGACTACTGTATTTTTACATGCCACATGGTCCATCTAGAAAAAACGCAAGGCTGATACTTAGTGGCGACGCACGCATTTTACTCCGGTAATTCAGGTGAGTAATTGGAACAGACAAACACTGTTGTCTCACACACACGGGCTTTCATACAATGCGTTTACAATCATTTACAAAGGCAACCGCGCCTACTAATCCTGTTATGGACCACTGTTTCAGGTAGTCTTAAAAGCAGTCATGTGTGCACGCCGTGACACACGTTGTTATCGACTTGGCAACTACTCGGAAACATTTTGTCACTGGAAAGTAGATAATTCCGGAGGCATTGTTGGAGGAGGAAAATTGCTCCAAACTCTATGCTTACTATCTGTATGCAATGCTCGTTGGCAGATCATAATGGAGGTGTAGGGTCACTTGGTATTTCAAGATTATCAATCACTTGGAAGTGAAGTGTAAATATCATGTTGAAACGCAGGATTGACATGCATCTTACGCCCTTAACATAACGGCAGATCCATGGGTCCTGTAGCGGTAACTGATTACCGAAGTGGTCCACAGGTGTGGAGACGAACGAACACTCACTAATATGTTGTCACCGCCACACCAGGAACCCTCCTCTTTGGAACAATGGCTACAGATTCACTGACAGTCTTACCTACTTAGCGAACTTGATCTTAGTATACAATGCGCCGACTACATCGGCAATGCGTAGGTACGCTATTCACATGAGTGTACGGCCAACCGAAAAAACACATCACGAGAACTTTGTGGCTGTAAAGGTTTTAAAATTTCTACTTGCGAAAAAGTTCCAGCTTTACCTCCTTCATACGAATTCCTGCATTGTTTTTGATTACTTCACACTGCCTTAACAATCACATGCATATCCTAAGGGAAATCGCACACCTATCGATTCTACAGATTGTTCGCAGTGGCATGATTACGCTATGCATGCTGTAACACGTGTGCCCAGATAGGCAAGCGAGCAAGGAAGGCAACCGTGCAATCAACCCGTGAGCCTTCAAAGCTTCTCTTCCAACACCTTGCAAGGGTTACCTCCTCAACGCAATCAACCAATCCGCCACTTATCCCTACTCAGTTATATGTCATCTCGCTCGTGTAAACCTTCAAAGCTTCTCTTCCAACAGCCTGCAGTGGTTGCAGCCTTAACAACAACTACCAATCCGCTTCTTACTACCACTCAGATGTCATCTCGAATCGTGCGATTACGAGTTTAACCGATGCACGGACGCCTGGATGAGACAAGTCGTGCAACGTGTCAAACACGGTCTGCCGAAATTCGCATGGGACGACTGCCCGCAGCGTGCCCAGAGATAAATCGCAAAGTATAGTTCCGTCTGATGATGTCAGCGGAACCGGTCTTATGTCCAATGAGGAAGACCTGCGTATTATATCAAACTCAGGAACATTGAGTTGCGCTGCGGCCATGGCTGTCAAGTCGATAGCCGTGCCAGCGTCAGCGGAGATAGCTTGGATGCGGGAAAGTGCATCGGCGACGGGTAGTGTACATCTGAGACATGCCGTACATCGGTCGCAAATTGAGTGATATACAGTCAAGGTGGCGTGACTCTAACAGAGTATCGGTCGCTAGTCGAGCCGATCACATAAGTCACAGGTGTGTGGTCGGTGAAGACGGCAAGGGAGCGGCCTTCTAAGGCATGTCGGGAATAAAGTATGGATAAATAAATGGCTAGTAGTTCTCTGCCGAACGTGCTGTGGCGAGATTCGGTAGGTTGTAAGCGTTTGGAGAAAAACGCTAAGGGCTGCCACGTGTCGGCTACTCGTTGCTGCAAAACAGTGCCGACTGCCACGTCCGAGGCGTCAGTACTGAGGGACAGTGGGGCTGCCCGATCGTGATGCGCTATAGAAAGTATGTTGGCGATAGCCGCTTTCATCGAGTTAATAGCAGCGCGTACTGCAGCAGGAAATTCAAATTTCTTGAGTTTCCCTCGGAGAAGATCCGTGAGGGGATGCATCAGCGAGGCGCAGTTGGGTATGAACCGTCGTTAAAAATTGGCAAGACCATCAAAATGTATAAGCTATTTGAAAGAATGAGGCTCGGGGTATTCGATGATAGTTTGAATTTTATCCGGCAGTGGCACGACGCTTGTAGAGGAGATACGATGGCCGAGGAAGTTTACTGAGTCGACACCAAACAAACACTTTTCTGCGTTGTTCGTCAACCCGTGTTGAGATAAATAAACAAAATGTGTTCGTACGTGGCGCATGTGCTCTTCTCGTGAAGAGCTCGCGATTAAAATTTCGTCGAGATAAGCGTAAGCGAAGTCTAGGCCGCGACAAACTTGGTCGGTGAAGTGCTGAAAAGTTTGCGCGGCATTCCTTAGACCAAATGGCGTGCGCAGGAATACGAACAAACCAAATGGAGTTGTCACGGCAGTTTTGGCTTTGTCCACTTCGGCTACCGAAATTCGGTTGTATGCGCATACTAAGTCGATTTTGCTGGAGGTATTTTTACCCGCCAGACTGGCGGTGAGATCCACGATGTGTGGGATTGGATAGCGATCTGGCGTGGCAACTGTATTCAAGGTTCACTAATCGCCGCAAGGACGCCAGTCCGCCATGACCTTCTTGGGGACCATGTGCAGAGGCGACGCCTATGGGCTGTTGGACGGTCTGACGATACCGAGCTGAAACATGTGGTCGAATTCAGCTCGTGCTGCACGTAGTCTGTCCGGAGCAAGACATCTGTGTCGTGCGCTAACTGATTGACCGCGCGTGACTATGGGATGAGCGACGTCTGTCGTGACTGGCGGAAGCTCTGCAGCTGGTCGTACCAATCGCGGATATTTAGACAATAGGTTCGCATAATCTGATGGTACATCGGCGATTCGGAAAACGGGACTGATTATTTGGGCGTCCGTAAGAATGCCTTCAACCCCTAGTTTAGTACGATCGTCTAAACGTCTGTGGTGACCAGCATCAACAAGCAACCCAAAATGTCGGAGGAAGTCGATACCGATAATTGCGAAGAGTACAGACGCAACCTTGAAGACCCACTGAAAATCTCGGTGAAGATTGAGGTCCATGTTCATCATGCGCTGACCGAATAAAGCTATCGGAGAACCGTTGGTCGCACGCAGATTGTACGTATGTAGCGATAACGACACGACAGGGGGGTAGACGTTTATTGCACACCGAAAATGGGCACCTCCGGGTCTCGCGCGCGCCATCGAATATCGACTAGATTTCCGTCTCACAACGCAACACAGGTACGGATGTTAGAGACGAGCCAGTCCTTTCGCCTCGAGAGCTCTGACTTGGAAGATCCGCCTTCCTGTTTTCGCCTCGATCCCCACTTCTCTGTACCCGATTTGGATCGGCCAGGAGTCGTTCGAGAGCTCTCGACTTGCTTGTTCTGGGCTGTGTCAATCGGCTCGGCGTCGGTCCTGTGGGCTGCGCTAGCGGCGTATATGTCTGATTTATTGCGCTGTCCACATATTCCCGCTCCGTAGTTCCGGGCCCAGGCTCGTCGCTAGCCGTCCTTCTCGATCCGCTCTCAGCTAATTCCGAAGAGCTCCCCCGAGGCATTCTTGGAAGCGGCCCCTCTACACCCGCCCCTCCTCGAGGATCTTTCTTCCTATCGTACCATGGTCGCAGGAGAGCAGCATTCACCCAACGTTTCATTCCTCCGCAGTCGATTAAGAAGTTGCCCGCTTTCTGGTCGATAATGGTGTAGGGGCCTTTCCAGCGTTCTCTGAACTTGCTTGCGCCCGGCCCGTCATGATCCGGCCGATCGTTGTTCCGTAACTTGACTTGTTCTCCAATCCTGAATGGCCTCCACTTGTAAGCCTCATGCCTGGCGTCGTAATTTCGCTTATTCCGCGCTTGTCGAGCTTTGGTTTCGCTTCTAGCTTTCCCTCGCAGTTGCTCTTGATGCCCAGCTGGATGTTCCCGCTCACCCTGGTTTGGTAGGCAAGTATCGAGCGCAATCCGTGGTTCTCTGCCGAACAGTAATTCGAATGGCAAGACCTTGGTGGTTGATTGCATGCTGGTCCGATACGCGATCAGAACCTGAGGCAAAGCATCTTCCCATGCCAACTTCATGCATTCATCCACGTCTTCAAAGTCCGGTTGAACCGCTCGGTCATCCCGTTGGTTTGTGGGTGGTACGGTGAGGTTCGCCGTCTCTGGATGCCCCACTTGTCCAACACTGCCTTAAACGCTTTTGACTCGAAGCAGGGCCCTTGGTCCGTGATTATACACTGTGGGATCCCATACCTTGCAGGCACATTGGATTCGAATACTTGCGACACTGTCTCGCCTGTTTGGTCCTTGATTGGTATGGCTTCCACCCATCGAGTGAAGTGGTCAATCATCACTAGAATGTATCTGTTTCCTGTTCGACTCACTGGTAAGGGCCCAAAGACGTCCAGTCCCCAACACTGAAGTGGCTCATCAACCTCCATCGATCGCATCGGCGGTCTCGGGGACTCCATCTCCCGACTCGTTTGGCAGTTTGGGCACCCCCGAATGTATGCCGCGACGTCCTTCCTCATGGTTGGCCAAAACACTCGCCTCCGCAGCAATTCAAAGACCCGCTCGAATCCCATATGGGCGCCATCATGAGTTATGCGCATCACACGTTCTCGCTGATTTGGTTTAACAAAAGGCACTTTCCGTCCGTCTATCGCCACCACCACGTTATCGTTTTCGACCTTCAACCTGTCCCAGATCTTGAGGAGTTCCTCCACCTCCTCCGATGTCGGCTCCGGTTTGGTGCCAGCCCGTAAGTGAGAGCACAACACATTCACGAATTCATCTGTCCTTTGATCTCCCAGCAGGTTCCCCCATCGCGATCGCCCGCACCGGTATGGCATTGTCTGGCATGATGTCGTCCAAACACGGGCGTGATAACATATCTGGCAATACATTCTGCGTTCCATCCACATGCTCAATGGTGAAGTTGAATTCCTGCAATCGGTAGGCCCATCGCGCAAGCCGTCCCCGCGGGTCTTTCGCCGTCATCAACCACGAGAGCGGTTTGTGGTCAGTGACGACCCGGAATTCATTCGCCAGTAAGTAATTTCTCCACTTCTCTAACGCCCACACGATGGCCAAGCATTCTTTCTCCGTTGTTGAATACTTCTGTTCCGCCCCCGTCAGCACTCTGCTCGCGTACTCCACCACCCCAGCCGGTTGAGACAAAACTGCACCGATGGCCACATTGCTTGCGTCGACAGCCACAGTGAACCTCTCGCCAGGATTAGGTAGCCGTAGACATGTCGGGGCTTCTGCTATGCCTGCCTTTAGATGGTCAAAGGCCTGATCCGCTTCAGCTGTCCACACGAACGGCACGTCCTTGCGAAGCAGCTTTAACAACGGGCTGACCTTCTCTGCGAACTGGGGCACAAACTTTGAATCATATGCCACCACTCCCAAGAACGAACGGAGCTGACGCTTGGATTTTGGTTTTGCGAAGCACTTGATCGTCTCGCGTTTCTCTGGAAGTGGATGGACTTGACCATCGCCCACGATGTGACCCAAGCATACAATTGACTTTTGGGCAATCTGCGACTTTTTACGACTGAGTTTCAGACCAGCTTCGTCTAGCCTCTGCAGTACTGCTCCAAGTCTGGTCACATGTTCCTGTTCCGTCTCAGAGAAGACGTTGTCATCACCATACACAACCACGCCTTGCAGGTTCGCGAGGACCATCAGCAACAAACGCCTGAATGTAGCCGGGGCGTTGCACAATCCAAACGGCATTCTCAAAAACTCATACTGCTGGCCATTGACACTGAAAGCCGTCTTGTGGCGATCTTCTTCTGCGATCGGCAGTTGCCAATATCCCGAGCGGAGATCAATCAGAGATATCTGCTTGGCACTGTGGAGGCTTGAGAAAATTTCTTCCATCTGAGGCATCGGGAATGCATCCTTCACCGTCACCCTGTTTAGTTCTCTGAAATCGATGCAAAATCGATAGGTTCCGTCGGCCTTTTTCGTCAATAGCACGGGTGATGAATACGGGCTGTGCGTTCGCCTGATGATTCCTCTCGATTCCATCTCGGTTACCTGCTTCTGTATCTCAACCAGGGTGTTCTGTGGAATTCGTCTGAAGATCGGCTTACATTGTCCTCCTGGGATCAATGGTATTCGATGTTCAACCCAATTGCAAAATCCGTAATCATCTTCCGCGTCTGTGAATAAGTGGGCATACCTACTCAGTACGTTGCGTATTGCACGGTTCTGACAATCAGGCACGGCTTTGAGGGCACCAACCCGGTCGGTTCTCCCCTTGTTTATCTCGATCGTCTCGTTAGCCACGATCACCACATCGTTTTTCAGGTCAATTGTGACACCGAGCCGTTTCAGGATGTCGGTTCCGATGATGGTTTCGGTCGTCTCCTCCACGATGAACATGTCATGGCTGATGAGCGTTTCTCCTAACCTTATTCGTAACCGCTGCGTGCCCGTCACTTTCAAATAATGCCCGCCGACCGTCTGCATCGTGATTGACGATGGGTTTACTGGAACCCCGTTGACCTTCTTTGTAATTGACACTGCCGCTCCTGTGTCTACTATGGCTCGGACAGACACACCTTCTATAGTTACCTGGAGGACTGGTACTCGCCACCGACTCGGCATGGATAGAGAGAAACAATGGGGCACATTGACGTTGGTGCAGAATCTCGCCACATGACCACTCTGATTGCATCGGAAACAGCGGCGACCGTTCCGGATTACCCGTACATTGCGTTGTGAAGCGGTGCTTGAAGACTCTATCGACAACAGCTGCTCCACCATTTCGGATAGGCGCTTTACTTTCTGTTCCAACTCAGCATGCTGTATGCTTCTCACTATCACTCGTTCCGACAAATTTTCGGCGACCGTCACCAGATCCAACGCTTTGCTGTCTCCCACCAGCGACGCCAATTTCACCTGATCATGGAGTGGACCGGGCAGACTTCGGATAAACTGCTGTTTCAGTAGGCGCTCTCTTGCTTTGCCCTCTAACTCGGGGAGCCCAATCGTTAGATGTCTGTCCAGCTGCTGGAAAAACACCATCAAATCCTCCTGTTCGTCCCACCTGGCTGCGTGAAATCGTTGCAGTGCTCGTTCTCTCTCCAGATCCTTCCCAAATTCTGCACACAAGGCAGCCCTCATCTCAGCGAACGAACAACCGGGTTTGGCCTATCGAGTGAGCAGATACACAGCCTTGGCTCGTCCACACAACCGTGTGCCCAAAGCAATTAGCAAATTTGCATCCCCCCTCACACCCGTGCAAGCCGCAATTCCGTCGAAATCATCGAGCCACGCCTCCACGTCACCGGCCGCAAATTGCTCCAACCGGGTCAACTCCATGGCGATTGGTCACGGCACCAATGTAGCGATAACGACAAGACAGGGGGGTAGACGTTTATTGCACACCGAAAATGGGCACATGAGGGTCTCGCGCGCGCCATCGAATATCGACTAGATTTCCGTCCCACAAAGCAACACAGGTACGGATGTTAGAGACGAGCCAATCCTTTCGCCTCGATCCCCACTTCTCTGTACCCGATTTGGATCGGCCAGGAGTCGTTCGAGAGCTCTCGACTTGCTTGTTCTGGGCTGTGTCAATCGGCTCGGCGTCGGTCCTGTGGGCTGCGCTAGCGGCGTATATGTCTGATTTATTGCGCTGTCCACATATTCCCGCTCCGTAGTTCCGGGCCCAGGCTCGTCGCTAGCCGTCCTTCTCGATCCGCTCTCAGCTAATTCCGAAGAGCTCCCCCGAGGCATTCTTGGAAGCGGCCCCTCTACGCGTAGGCTCTGAGTGCTTGTCCTTCACGATCGCAGGGATGACCCTGACTTCCGCTCCCGTGTCGATGAGGAACGTGATGGAAGAAAGTAGATCCTTAACGTAAGACAGTTGTTTTACTTTTTTATTGACGGATACGTTGGTCATGCTAGTATGCGGGCTATTCGCTTTCCCTGAAGCGGCTGAGTCGTGCGTAATGAAAGGAGTCTAACAACGTCTAGCTCTTCTACCGTATTGGCGGTGATACCAACATACTTCTTCGACGGGTTCGGTATTATCTGACTAACAACGTGCAAGAAGTATGTTGCGCTTTCGTATCAAACGAGACGAGCCGCAATGAATGGTAGCCAAAACGTGGTCAGCAATTGACCGTGGCACCCGCTGCTTTGAAACCTTCATTGCTGCTGCCCTGCTGCGAAGTAGCGCAATTTCCTTGTGTCTATGGTCAGACCGACCTGACGACTGGGAGGAAATATGGGATTCCGTTTTCTTCGGTGAGAATATTTCATCGGAGTTACTGATCGTTTGCTGCGGAAACCGTTCGAACGCAGCGTCTGCCTTGGTAGCTAATTCTTTCAGGGGTGTATCTATAAACATGGACAGCATAACCGGCAACTGCACTGGGAGACGTGCAAACCACAAATCCTTTGTCCCTTCTTCGCTCAAGAATAAGGGACCAGCGATGCGCCGAATTTCGCGGAGCAACGCCGACGGCTTGGGATCTCCCAACTTGAGACCATTGAGCTGTTCAAATCGAGCTCGTGCGCTGGACTGTAACACTTTTAGAATC